TTTTGAATGAATGCACCACAATATAGAAGATTTAAATACCTTTGACATTTCGTTCATATATGCCAGCATTATGGATGCATTTAAGACTGTATTCGTAAGTAACTTCCTATTCATCCATGGAAACCACTTTTCATATTCTTTATAATAGGCTTTGCTGGAGTTGGATTTTACACCTACCAACGTTTGTTTAGATTTTACAACAATCGATTTAATGGACGGTGTATTATCTTTTTCAACGGAAATCGTTTAATTCACAAAGACGATGATTTTTATAAGCAAACGTCAAGTGACATTTCCATGGCAATCGTGAAATTTCGAACACCCAGCCCACTTAATTAAACATGTATTCGAGTATAACGTCAATATGACTGCATTGTATTTCCTATTTTTAAATTATACTGCAGGTATAATAAAAAATACTATAAGATACACGTGTATAATTTGTCTTTAAAGCACTTGCAACGTTAAAGGCACTCCGCTTTGCGTCGTGCCCTTAAACTCGTTGCGCGTGCTTTAAAGACTTGATTATACACTTGTATCTTAATATACTATTAATGAATGCGAATGAGGCAAATTTTAAGAAAATTGAACACTGCATTTCCCAGGATACTCCCTAGGCCCTAGGATAATCAACGCCGTCACCTCTAAATGCAGAACCTAGACGTCAAATTTCTACCTTATTTATTCTAAAGGGTCCTGCAACAGTCTTTCTTAGCTCATACCTCGTAAAAAATAGTTTAAAAAACTTTTCACCCAAATGTCAACTGTGGATGTTTGCGCATTTATACAGGCTGCCCATTATGTATGGAATATAGTATATATCTCATTAAATCGAATGTATAGAACATTTTTCTATATGAAACGGGTGCACATGGGTTTATTTGAAAACCTTTAAGAACTCTGGTGCAGACTATTTGCCTTAGAATTTACAAAATCAATAATCCTATAAGGTTTACCACAAAACCCCATTACTGAAAATTTTAGTTAGAAGTTTTTCCATACAGTAGAAAAAAATTAAGGGGGTTTCTGATGGTCCAAAGTGCACGGGAAAAAATTGGAAATATCTGGCCTATCAAAAGTTTTAAAATTTCCCGCAATAGAGTTTTGTGTTCAATCAGTAGGCCGCACTCATGCGATTGGCTAAAGCGTATTTTTTGTTTATAACCTTTACAACGTATACCACAAATACCTACTTCATACGGTCTCACTTCTGCTAAAAGCGCATTCAAATTGGTTTTTCCATGCGCGAACCCAATTTTTACCTGCGTGTAGAAATTCCATTCTATAAATATTATGTATCGGCAATTAAAATTCGTTTAAAATATTTTTCCCTTAGCCCGTTCCTTAAAAGTTTTTAAACTTGAAATAGAAATTTGATATTGGGTTTACAGTCATAATCGACCATTCCAACTTGAAATTAAATAATTTCAAGATGACGGTGCTTCTGTAAATGCCGGAAGTCGGTGCCATCTTGCTTCTTTTTAAATAGAAAGATACCGTATTCTATTTTTTTCGAAATGCTCCATTTTAGTCTGAATTTAACGCATTTAAGATTTGTCATAGTTCTTGACGTGCCAATTTTTCCTTAAAGGAGATTCAAAAATTCATATCTTTTAAATCTTTCAAAATAAGAGAAATGAGTACTCTTTTTTATAATCGAATGATCGCTGAGAGTCTAGAACCAGTTTCCAAGGCGATTTTTTATAATAAGCAATAAAAAATGTCAAAAACTTCAGTTTTTCAAATTACAACTACAATTTTTGATGCCAAAAGTCAATGTAGATTTGAATTTTAGAATAAAAGAAAAGAATATTTCTTTCAAAATGTGGCAATAACTCAAAAACTATCGGATATAGGTATACAATGTTAATAAAAGTGGAACCAAAATTCAAAACTACATTCATTTCTGACATCAGAAATTATAGTTCCAATTTGAAAAACTGAAGTTATTTTTTTATTTAAAAATCGTGGAAACTTTTATAAGACTTCAGCGGTCACTCTAAAAATTCATAGACTTAAAAGATTCGATTATAAAAAAGATATGAATTTTTGAATGGACCCTTGCATCTCCCTCCAAATTTTTATAGAAACATTGACATATGTCAAAAACTATGACAGATAGGTACGCAATTAGTAAATGCGTAAAATTCAGAATAAACTGGCGCATTAAAAAAATGGAAAATAGTATGTTTTTATTTAAAAAAATCGAAATGGCACCAACTTCCAGTATTTACGGAGGCGACAACAGACGAAAACAATTCATGTAGATACTAATATCGAAAATATTAGAAATCGTTTATTGATATAACATTTCATTTCTGATTCGAGTTCCGAATTTTTCTTTTTTAACTGACGCATTGTGATGAGAAAACATTTTTGGATTTGGAACATAAAAGAAATTTCTGAGTTCAGGCCAAAGAGTAACTAGTTCGGCCACTCTTCGAAAACACAAAAGAATAAAAAATGAACCAAAACGTAAAAAATTTCGAAAATTTGTTTATAAACGGCCAATCTTCTAACGAATGTAGGGGGGTAATTATGGATTGACAGGGGGGGAAGGCGTGTTTTTGACCACAATCATTTTAAATAATTAAATCGCTGAAGAATAGACATAATTTGTCAGGATGATTAATTGTAATAAAATAACTAGTTACAAAACAATGATAAAGTAAGTACTTACAACAAGGAATCAAAATCAAACTAAACTTGACCTGAAAGTTGGCAGCGGATGATCGTACCTGCAATTAGAAAATAGTTCTCTGAGCAACCAGTCAACCCAACATGGATGACTACAAATAATACTGACTGTCAATTACTATACTCTCTATGGAAAACTTCCATAATATAATCTCAATAATCATAGGAGAGTTCTAATCTTTCGTCATTAGATTGGACTTCCCTATTTTCGATATTCTATGAGAGTTCTATTTAATTCTCGTTATATTATAGTTACTCATTCTCGTTATTAAATTAGAGTTATCCATTCCCTTTTGGCTGTGCAGTGGTGTTGGGGGATTAAACGCAATCGTCAAAGTCCAGGTCAGACCATCACCCTGCTCAACGTGTGTGGTAGGTCCTGGGTTCAAAGACGCAACCCTCCACCAACCAAAAGTGCCACAACAACTAGCATAGAGTGTGCAATGGTATTAGGGGATTAAACTCGACCGTGCATGACGCAACCTAGAACCCATCATCACTACGTTTTAAGTGTTAACAAGTCCTAGGGGATTCAACGCAATCGCCATTCACGATATCCTAATACCTACCCTAAGTACTAGCCTGGAACCGTGCACAGTTCCATCAACAAAACACTGTCGAGGGGATTCAACGCGCCTCACAGTAATCAACAACAAGCAGCGTGGAATAGATTACGCCAACCAATAATTCTACCTGGTTTATGCATAAACTGTGGTACCATATTTGTATATCAATTTCATAATGAACGCTAATTAAACATGCTTTGTAAAACTGAATTGCTCTGTGAGATTCACTCACCTATTCTCCAAAAGAACACAGACACTTAATCACGCACTGTTCACTCACTACTAATACAATTCCAATAAATACGCAGCTACTGCCCATTTGTATAAAAACCAACTGCCTGTTCCTTCATCCCTTCCTTTAATTAAAACAAAGTAGCGAACGTGACTGATTTATAGTTCCATTCGTAGAACGAAACATATTTTCAAATGTTTACAAATAACCCAAAAATAATATCATATTACCAATAGTCGCCTTTCGGGTAGTAAATTGCGTGAACGGTGTTACGGATGAATGACGTTATGCCGTCTGGGGTTTAGGGATTAAGCAAAAAATCGACGGTCACACTCGATAAAAATTATTTTAAAAAAAACTTACGTCTTACACGAGAGGCTGTGGATTTTCCAAATGTGAAGTGTCGATTTCTGTGCTAGAAAGATGTAAATTATTTATGCAAATACAAAGTCAAGATGCCTTATAAAACAGAAATTAATACCCCATCATTTCACAAAGGTATGGCCCATAAACACTGTCTAAAATGATAGAGTTATGAATCCAACAAAAATAAATTATTAATCACATTGACTTTTAAAATAAGAATTAAGTAAAATCTGCATAGCATTTAACGGAATCGTGTTCCACATCTTTAAAATCTATGTGCAAGATTTAGTTTGGCAGTTGAAGACTAATTATGTTCATTTTTTTTTCAAATAAGGACCAGTCATATACTGAAGACTATTTCTTCATCATTAATTCCCGTACAAAACCACAAGAGGTAGTGATTTTAATGTATACTTCGATCAAGAGTTATATACACTCCAGTAATTCTTCCAGTAATTCTTTTAAACTACTTTTTTACATGCGCAAATCCATAACAAGAAGTACGCCTTGCGTAATGTTTTCCCCTTGCCTTACGGTTGCCGTTTGTGCAGTTATCATTTAATTAGAGCAAAATTTGAATCACGATAATTTCGCGATGTAGCACATTTTTAAATTAAAAAAGTCGTGATTTAAATTTTAATTTGAACTGTAGGTATAAGGAGGCTGGCTTGCAAGTTTGATTACGAAATTTCGGACGGGATGATCGCCTTTCACTTACAAATTTCATTTACCGTCAAATGGCTATCATAAACCGTAAAATTAACTGGAACACATTTGCTTTGCGGCATTTTTCCGCAACTTCTACGTACGATTATCTTCTGTTTAAAGGTAATAGAAAAAAATTGCCCGATATGGCAAAATCAAATGGGAATTTCTGCAACTGCCTTTACCGTTCAAAACGCTTCGTACAAAGCGGTTAAGTGTAATTTGTATTCCGTAATTGCAACAGAAACGGCAATTGGCAGTTAATGTTAACGTTAAGACGACCACCAAGACCCAGCGCAATTCGACCTGATTGACCCGACCTGCTGCCCGAGTAAGCGTAGACAAGCCGCCGCTGGGTACCAGAGGTGCAGTCACGCAAGTATCTCTTCTCACGTGCATCGAAAGCGTCTCCTTAAGCAACTAAAGCGACCTACCTGGCCAATTTAAATAAACTGGTGTAAATAATCCAGCTCTTGGGTGAGCTAAATACACGTAATCTTCTATCACCACAATAAACGAATGTTTTGACACACCACACACTATCTCGTATGCCGTGAAGATCAAGAATGATATCCACCTGCTACCACTATAACGAAGAAATCATAAAGTGTGTTTTAGAAACCCCACCAGTAAGTTAGTGTGATACGACCGCCTTCTGACCCAGACACCGGGGGATGTACAGTTATACAATCTCGCAATCACCCTGATATGACCAACGACGAGCCATTTTACCGCGAGGAAGAAGTAGGTAAATAATGCGAAATCTCCACACCTGTGAAGCCTTTTTCGCGCTTTCCTCGAGCATCGGTAACCACCATTGTCTCATTTGCTGGCGGCCAATTTGAACGTCCAGTGGAGGTCAGTGGAGTACGATCTTCCCCTACTATGTTTCCTCTTCCTCATTTTAAAAGTACGCTACGACCAAAAATGTTCTTATTTGAATTTAAAAGAATGCTGCTCATCTACTTTTCGTAACACAGTAAAGACGTATCGATTGTTTGACAATCAAATCGAATTTAATTAAGTGTAACCTACCGCATCCAAGTGTGACCCACATCCGCTTCTAATTATACAATATTTTTTTCTTTTGTTTCCGACAATTATTTATAGCGTGGACAAGACTAAACGTTAGATATGCAAATCGTACCTATGAACTTTTACTAGGTATTCCATAATTACTATTTTCTACTGCAATTAACATTTAATGATAAGTTTCCATTCATAACTTCGTCTGGTTGCTAATGAATATATGTTGAATGACTCATGCCTTTTAATATCGTCTTTACTTTTCATCGCAGTCAATCAATATTAAAGTCGAGATGATCCATTTTGTTTGTCTATTGGAATTGCGAACATTACGAGCTGTGTAAATAATCATTTCCCAGAAAGGGTTTCCCCAAAATTTTCACACTACGAGTCTACGACTCAGATATTATACCCTCCATCGTAACACTGAAAGAAGTACAAAATTCATTATTTACCGAAATAGTAGTCTATAAATATGGGACAGGGGAAGATCCCTTTCAGGGCGAGGCATGTTTCTCGTGAAACTTAGCAGAAAATAGCCTGCGTGGGGATGATGGAGCACATTTTTCTGGTTAGCCCGAAATAGTAGTCTATAAATATGGGACAGGGGAAGATCCCTTTCAGGGCGAGGCATGTTTCTCGTGAAACTTAGCAGAAAATAGCCTGCGTGGGGATGATGGAGCACATTTTTCTGGTTATGCCGTTATGGACACTTTCACTGAAAGAACACCATACAGGGTGGTGACTTGCGTAACGCATCATAGGGATTTCAATGTAAAATTCATAACATGCGATTATTGGCTCCCCAAATTATTTTAGAGCAAAAATGTATTAAGGTTTTTTGTAGAAAAAAAATTTTTACGTCAATCAACCGTATTACTTTTCAATTTTTTGCATAATAAAAACGGAAAATTGGAAAAATAAAACCCGCATCTTTGCAATAATCTGTGATGCCATGGAATTTTATAATACAAAAACTACGCCAATATCCGTCATGCCATGGAACGTCAGCTATAAAACAAATCGAATTCCATCAAAAAGTATTATATTTAGAACAGCGAATTCAACATAAAGAAAGACTAAATTACTGAAAAGGGTTTCCTAATATAACAATTTACAATAAATGTTCGAATAAGTCACCATTAACTACAAGACAGTAACCAAGTCGATCATAAAATCCATTTCGAACTGCTGCTAATATTGATAACTGGATATCTTTTTGTTTTAGAAAATTCCATGGCTTCACAGATGATTGAAAAAGATGCGGGTTTTATTTTTCCAATTTTCCGTCTTTATTATGCAAAAAAATGAAAAGTAATACGGTTGATTGACGTAAAAAATTTTTTTCTACAAAAAACCTTAATACATTTTTGATCTAAAATAATTTGGGGAGCCAATAATCGCATGTTATGAATTTTACATTGAAATCCCTATGATGCGTTACGTAAGTCACCACCCTGTATACACAATCTTTAAGAGGACCAGGAGTTTTCCGATAGCTGGGAAATTTGTTCACCACAATCGTTTTGTGAACTGATTGCAGTCAGCCTTACATGGAGCACTCCTCTCAAATGAGGTACCCACAGGGCCGGATTGATTGGGGGGGGGGGGGGGGTATGGGGGGTTCCACACCCCCCCGAACGAGTGACCATAGTCGCGACAAAACTTCAGTTAGTCGGCACTCGGCAAATCGCTATTCAAATTAAATTAATATTGGAAAAAAATTGCGTAAAATACGTCGGTACGCCGGAAAACCGTTTTGTAGCCGCCGCTTCCACGCAAAATAATGAATAATTGGTTATTACGCTCTCACTTGCTGTAAGTCTCATTGAGATTACGAGTATGTAGATCTATTACCTTTCATGGTTAAAGGTCGCTTAAAAATGGCCCGCAAATTTTTCTAGCCGTTATGTTTGCATGGGTTTAAAAGTTGCGATAAGGATAGATGGTAGATAAGTATACAGGGTGGTCATTTTTAGCGCCTGACGATGGGATCTCTTATGTTGAAAACTAATGGTCAAATTGGGGTAAAGTTAAATTTACAATGCGAATCAATAATTGAAACCACTTCTTTTAGTTTGTTTCAATAATTAAAAAGAACTGAATTCTGCGTTTTAATAATTCTGTATTAAAAAAAAACGAGTATACCTACTTGAGAAATGCGCGGTTTAGACTATGACATTATTTTTTTAATTTGTTTTGAACGTAGGGGTTACATTGAATTTTTAGATTTTTTTTAATAAAGAATTTACTATGGATTTCTATATTACATTTTAAATATAACACTTAATTAGTCAATTGTCACGAGAGTGTCTTTTAGACAAAAATCGGTTTTGCATAGATTACTACTTTTAACTTAGTAAACATATATATAATAAAATCTTGCCAAAAGAACACTTTCCTACATTTAAAACGACATTTATTTTGATTATAAATGTAAACTACCAAAGCAAATTAGCAAATGAGTTTGACTGCGATTTCTAAAGCACAGTCGTGAAAATTGAATAATAAGGTACTTATTTTGGTAAAATCAAAGTAGTAAATTAAAAGCTATGGCACGTCAGAGAAAAATATCTCTGATGAAAGATCATAAGATGAAATTTGGCGACACTAAAGCAAAAAAAAGTTCTATGCCATTCTGGCCATATTTATTCCTCTGTAAAA